TTTTTTTATTATTTATTTATATCTTTTTTTTTTTTTTTTTTTGAGACCCCCCAAGCACCAGCTCACGGACCCCTGGGGGTCCGGGGACCCCAGTTTGAGAACCACTGCTCTAGTCATTGCAGTTGTAACGATAATGAGAGAGAATAAGAACAAGGTTTCAAATATTAAAGATTTTTGGGTATTCAGTTCCTGATTTTTAAATACTTGAGGAAGTAGTAGTACTACTTTAGGATCATTCTGTGAAAACAATCCAATTAATAAAAATGGTATCATAAGGACTTAAACGTAATTAAAATCTGAAGAGCTTGACATACTTTGGGTTAGAAACGGAATATTAATAATAAAAAAATAAAAACTTTTTGCTACCATTTTATAAAGTAAAAGTCAAATATCAAGGTCAGTAGCGGTGAATAGCCCCCCTTTGGACAAGCCCAGGTCTGTGTTTGCCTTCAGCAGCCACAGTCCATCACTCACCTTTGCGCAGAGGCACTGACTCCTCTCCTGGAAGCCGACAACCATCCAACCAACTGCACCGTCCTTGTTCCCTGAACGCACCTGTTCCGTTCAAATCCGTCCAAACTCGGCGGGAGTCACAGCGCTGCTGCTGCTGTCATCGCGGACACATTTATTCTGCTCATGTGTGGTGTTAAACCGCCACAGGCTCTCCGAGAAACCAAAACAAAAGATGGAAATAAAGCAACTCCCTCGCGCTGCCTCTCCGTCGTGATGCTCGTGATCCTCAGAAGCCACTTCTAGTATGAAGCTCTGTTGATATCATCCACTTTACTCCAGCCAAAAAGGCACGGCGGAAGGTAGAAGGAGACCAAACACAGACGGAGGATGAAGAGGAGGAGGAGGAGGAGGAGAAAGTGTGAGCAGCAGCTCTTCACCGGGATGAATGAAAGACAGAAAGCGCTCGCGGCTTTCCACGGCGCGTGTGCTGATAGTGCACGCTGAATGCTTGATTTGCTCCGTGAGTGAGCGGGTCCCCTGCACGAAGCACACACACACGCGTATACACGCACGCAGGAACACACGCGCGCGCACACGTAAATGACTTCCAACACAGAGAGAGACAGGTGGCAATGTCCCGGTGATGCTGAGACACGGAGGCATCCTTTGATTGCATCCAGTGCTTAAAAACTTTGTTACACCTAAAACAATAAACTCACGAGGACAGGCTGGTCATTTTATTTAAAACCCACAGACAAGGCATGATTTGTGAGATTCTGTGTTTTGGTCTTGTCTTGTCTGTAATCTTTGTTTCCTGCACTCGCCAGTGTTTTTCCCCCTTGTTGTTAGCTCTTGTCTCACCTGTCTCCAATTCCAATTACCCCAGGTGTTTGTCGTCGTGTCTCACTAGTGTAGTCTATACGTGATACGCGGGCATATGGAGTATACCCACTAGAAAAGCTTAAGAATGTCAGTATACCTATTTAAAAGTGCCCAGTGATACATGACATATCATTAGGCACATGTATGTGATACATTAAAAGGCAGTTAAACACTTAGGTAACAATCTATTGGTATCAGAATAAGTTTTATTATCATTGTACCGAAATACAGTGAGATTATGTTCATACAGTCGTCCGAAAGATGGGCGGAGTGAACGTTGCTGCTTCTAAGAGCGCGGACCCTTATTCTTTTAGATAGAAAAGGCCACGAGTAAAGGATTGCGGTATTACAAAAAAAGATCTCTTCACACTTTGTCCTTATCAGGACACAATTTAAGACATCAAAAAAACTTTAGCAACAAGTGCATTCATAGGCACAGTACATATGCATTTGATGACAAGATAGTGAGATTTGTCCATGAAGCACTTCCAGATAGCACCATAGTTCAATTAAATTCAATTCAGTTTATTTATATAGCGCCAAATCACAACAAAGTTGTCTCAGGGCACTTTACAGAAACATTCACATACATAGAAAAGCCAATTAGTAAAGTTCTCTATCGAAGGAGGCCAGCAGACAAGTTGAATCGTGACTTCGTTGCAGTCTCCCATCCTGAGCAAGCACAGTGGCAACAGTGGAAAGAAAAAACTCCCTTTTAAATGGAAGAAACCTCCAGCAGAACCAGGCTCAGGACAAGCGGCCGTCTGCTTTGACCGACTGGTTTGAGAGGACAGGAAGGAGAGACAAACAAACACAGAATATCCAGATATAAGTCCAGGTGTACCTGAAAGACAAAAAATAGTCCTGTTAAGATGTTAATGTCAGCCGGTACAGCTCTGATAAGCATTCACAGAAGTTCTTGTGGGGGTAGGGGTGTTGCGATAGACAGAGCCTTCTTAGTTTACACATATCCCAGGAGAAATTGATGTCGGCCTGCTTCGAGGACAAACGGGAGCCACAGTTGTTGATTTTTTTTTTCAGGCAAACTACTATTTCTCACCAGCCTTGAGTTCTGGTGGCACTTTATATCCAAAATAGCCAGATTTGTGGGCATTCTTTGAGTCATCCTATTTGTTAAAAAAACCAAAAAAAAACCTGTAGTATGACTTTTTATAACTGTTTATTGTTGTCACTGTTGTCATCATTCTTTGTTGAAACCAGGTCTCTCTTGTAAATGAGTCCTCGAGGCTCAATGGGATTTACCTGAATGAATTCAAACGAGCGTGACTTGATGGTCTTCATTATTTTGTTAAGTATTCCATCAGAAACAGCAGGATGCTGACATATTTAGTATTAATGTTTACTGAAAGGCTTTCTAACAGTAAGTTATTAGAAAATAAGTCTTGCATAGACTCTATGGAAGTGGCATTCACACCTTTATAGTTAATTTGGGCCATGCAGATCTCACTTGTAAATAAGTCTTGGAGGCTCAATGTGATTTATCTGTCTAAATAAAGGTTGAATTAATGCATTCGGGTCATTTACTGCCATATCCGTACTTTATATGTATGTTCATATCTTTATGAAATTCTTGCATATATTTAAAGGAACATGTGAGCTAAAAATGAAAGACTGTACTTCACTTGTCTAACAGCTATCCACAACACAGTCCCCCCCCCCCCCCCCATATGAAAATGGCGATTTAACATCACATGACAGATGACGTCCCGTCGACTTTGAGAATAGGGTTTTCAGCTTCCCTGCCCGAGTCACAGAAGCATACAGTCGTGTCGTTTGAGTTTTGAACACGGTAAAAAGATTGTGTGGCACCCAGTCTCTTGAAATTGTCACAAGGACATTGAGGGTGTCTCCAAACTTATCTTGAACCCACTTGAATTTTGGGTCAGGCATCTCCAACTCATCTCAAAACAGCTAAAGCTGTTTTTAGACATCTGTGCTCTCCTTGGAGGCAAAGTCACATTCACCTAGTCCCAAAAAGTTCATCTTTGTGAAACTTGTGAATTAGGGTTAAATATCCAGTCCTGCATTTTCCCACGCATCCATCAAACCTGATCACACTGACAAAGATTGTGCTCAAGCTAGGGATGCACCGATCCACATTTTTTACTTCCAATCCCGATACCTAAATCTAAATATCGCCCGATACCGATCTAGTTCCGATATCATCATCATTATTGATTTTATATGAGGCTGTAATAATCTCCTCTCAAGTACAATTTGTACAAATATATGCATTAATGTCCAAAAAGGCAACTTGAGGTAAGTTTTATTAATGTTGGATCTGTTTTAAAGTTAGAATTAAATTCTGCTAACACAAAACATGTTTCTTCTTATTCCTAGCTTTAAAGTGGATTTTAAAGTGATTAATTTAAGTGATTGTTTAAAGTTATTTTATATTTTTTAAATAAGGGCAGATATAAGATTTTTCTTCTTTCTGCCCTCTTTTCATTCAATGTTTTCTTTTTGATTAATTTGTTTTGTTTCTTTTAAATGAATGGATAAATGAATTAAATTAAATAAAATGTTAAATTGCTTTAAACATCTGCTAAGTTCATGGCATAAACCAACAGACATGTTCCTGTTTTTTGGTTATTTACATCACTTTATAATGTAGCTGTTTTTGTTTCTTTTTTTAATATATATATAATTTTCTTGTAATTTTAAAATCATGTTTTGTTATGATCGTCTGCTGTTGTACTGATAAATATCTCCTGGAGGGTAAACTACATCTTGGCTTCAAGTATTAAGCTGCAAAATCCTTCGTTTTCTACAACTGATAGTGGTTGGTCATTAATTACGATAAAGTTGAGCAACTTCTCTGTAAACATTCGAGCTCCGGGGCTTCAGCGGTGTCTTCTTCTTGTCCAATCCAAAGCAGGCAGCCTGATTTCGGTCAGCGGCGTTCAGTCTGCCCCTCCACAGAGACAGGCATATTGAGCTTGGATTGACTTGAGATTGGACGCAGCTGGCCGGGGTTGAGTTGCCTGTTTCGGGTTGAGCAAGTGTAGCGCCATGCTGAAGCCACGAAACTAGAATGTCCAACGTAAAACTTAATTTTACCTTGGTTTAATGTGGTGCTATGGCTCAGCAGACATTGTACGTTGCTGTCTTGCTTTGTGGTGTGTCTAGTGTAAAATACTTCCACACAGCGGACATGTTTAGATGAAAAGTTGGTTAGCCATTAGCTACAGTGCTGCTAACTCAGTTCTCACGTTGTAGCTGACAAGGGCGGTGAGCAGCCAGAGACAACACACCGAGGCACTGCAGAATTCAGATAAAATCACTCAGTTCAAATAGTTCCCTCTGGAGAGATCTGTGCACACTCGGGGGTTGCCGAGGACGACCAGAGACAAATCCAGAGTCCTGAAATGATGACAGAATGTTTATTCAGCTGGGCTCCTCTGAAAAGTCCATGGAAATTCCTCAGTAGGAGAGGAGGGAGGGGGTAGAGCATCAGGTTTACAAAACTTCCAGGAGGGTTGAGACAAGATGGCCTGTTAAGGCCAGTCAGGGAGCTGAATTCAGATAAACACAATTGTTTTGGGGACAGGCAGAACTTTAATGACATCTACCTTGAGTCTGTGCTGGTCCACTCGGTTCCGATATGTCCCAATTAAATGATCATACCACTGGAACGTGCCTGAGAATATTCCCCAAGATCTGAGCCATTCTGCCAAAAGTCTGGGTGCTCGAGGCACAAACCAAGCCATCATATAAGGCAGGTGTGCGAGTACAGCACTTCTGCAGCCCGGACCCAAATCATCCACACCTGCAGGCCATCCTGTTGATGAGTATCCTCCACTACTTAAGGCTGCAGATTAGCTCTCCTCCCCGCTGGAGCATTGACTAGTGTTCATGCTTTCCTGTGCCTCCGTATGCTGACTTTCTTGGATCCCAGCACCTCCTTGTGTTCATTGCCCTCCATCCACTGGCCTGCCAAGACCTGTCAATTCCTGGAGGCTTGTGGAATCGAATCCAAGATCTGGATCTCCTCTCAACCTGTAAGATAAGAAATACCTATTTAAAATCCTCAGCCTCTAAGTGGAACCTCTCTGATTTATATCCTTGCCCCTCAGGACTCCAGTGGATCATCATTGCACATTTTAATATCAATCTGTGAAAAGAAACACTTTTAACTTTTCTACGTGTGGAGTCTTGTGTCGCTCACTGGTTTTCATACTATCTGGGTTCCTCGAGTTCTGACAGCAGGCAGCCTGACCAGGTCCAGATTGGCTGCCGACGACTTCCTTGTTTGTTGATAGACCAAGAACCAGCCAAATCCAAAAAGCAGGAACCAGTTATCATAAATCCAATTATACGTGTCCACAAATGACAGCAGAGATAGACACATCGTCAAGTCTTACCAAGTCGATGAGATATCCAGTTGTGTGCGTGCCAACAGGGCAAATCGGCTCACCTAAAGCCTGTCTTCTCTTCAAAGAAATGTTCTCAATTGTGTTGAGGGACCAACTGACCAAATCCAAGTCCATAGTTATGAT